CTTTAGGAAATTAGCTTGTGATCTGCCTGAATCACCCAGTTAGCTAAATTTGCTGTCTGTCAAGTTGAACTGTTTTTACTCTTGTTTATATTATTCTAATGATCTAATTACTTCAGTGATTCATGATTCCTATTTGCCCACTATCTCAAGTACGTTTCCACTAACTGCTAAACATTTTCGCAGAAAGTGGTGAAAGAATATTTTGAAATAGCACTGGAGTGAAGTTTGCGTGAAGCAATAGTTTCACATTATGTATTGTCGATTATTATACTATTTGACGATTCTGAACGAGCAATAAATACCTTGCAGTGAAATTCGCTGAAAATTCTGTATTATGTAAAGATGCACATTTCAGGATGAAGATATAATTATAAATAACTCAATTTCTGCTTCGGTTTCTGTGATTATGACAACTGTAACTTCAACGTGGTTATCCTCTTTATCTAGCATCATGAAGACAATCATTAAAAGCCAGAGCGAGCAGGCCGAGTTAAACTGAAAGCCCCGTTGGGTACCAAGAGAGTGGGACCACTATAGTTACTTACAATGGGCCGATGAGATTCCCCACGTGAGCTCAATTTTTTATTCCGCTATATCAGAGGCAATCGCCAGCTATAACACATTTAAGTCTGAAGTTTGGTGCAGACCAAGAGTTCCAGTTATGCCCTGTCCAATCGCTCCAAACCATAACAAACCAAACGAACGACCCGGGTGAACGAACGCAATGAACCTGATCAACCAGTCAGATGATCCCATGGTGTACTCTAGCAATTTAAAAAAATGTTTTTATAGACGTCAAAGCTGGTGTTAGGAAATAGGAATACGGAGTGATTTTCTTGTACGTGTCCCCAAAAAACTTTTAATTTCTTATTGGATTCCGTGGCGGTAGTACAAACCTATTTCTCTACGCAAATTCATCCAGACAACTGCATATCTTTCTGTTTAATTTCTACAGCACTGAAGAACCTTGAAGGGAACGGCATATCTTCTCAAACGGATTTTCCGTCCAGACAGTTTTCGGAAGCTACCTCTTGATGTAATCTCCAATGTAATTCTGCGTTTTTAATATGGGCTCATCTGACTGGCTGATCAAGGTCATTATTTTTCTCCACTTGGGTCAATATTGTTTAGAGATATCAGATAGTGTATTGATTGCCTACCTTTGGTAGGGCTAGTATAACGTATTTAATTAATAGCACTAGCAATACGTTACGGAGGGTGAACTCAAATCATATCAGTTGACATACCTTAAGCCCAGTCTATTCATATTTAAATTTCCTTTCTGCTATATTACTCTTCATCTTCGCATGCACATTTATTATTTGTGTTAATTTACACTCCAGATATATTATTACAACTATGTGACCTATCAGTCAGTGGCTGACAGCTACTCTCCTAAACAGATAGCACTTGTGCTGTAAGTCCCCACCTTATGGGCAAATCGGCCATATTCCTGGTCCCCACATGCTTAAACCCAGTTGACTCCGAGACGTTCTCATTTGCAAGAAGCTAGGGAGAAATTAGCCAACACAAGCGTCCCTGGAATCATCGTGGAAGACGTTTCAGATATTATTGATGACACAACGCCTGTCTTTTACGGATTCTAAAGTGACCGTTACCAAGAAATTAGTACTTACATACCAGGTAAAAGCAAAAGGATTCCTCAGACACCTGGAAGACAGTATGCCCACACATGTGCCTCATCAGATGAAACAGTTTCTGATTCTTATGCCAACCAAACCTTCTGAAAAAACTTCAGTTGCGAATGTTGCCTCGGACAGTGCCAGGTATTCTCACATTCTTTCATAACTTCCCGTCAGCAGAGTTGGCAGAGGCAACTGATACAGCCACAGTTGCTGCCAGGCTGTTCACCGGTATTTTAACATGCGTATGTACTAGCACTCATTATCAGCAATACCTCTCTTCAGTCAGTCACCAAGTTTTGACATCGGACAAATGTATACGGAGTTGTGAAGTCTCAGGAAAGAAATTAGTTTGAAGTCCCTGCAGTCGCTTGTCTCACTCACACAGCAAGTCTTCCTCATGTTTGAGAAGAAGGCGATCAAAGTAGAGAAATTCACAATCTGGAATTTGTTGGTGTCACAAACTCAAAGGTGTACTCATTCGTACGCCTTCGGCATCAGCCAGTGGGGAAACATGTCGGCCAGTACGTGATGGTGGCTTATGTCGCTGACGAACCACTCCCTTATCGCCTTTTTGTGTTACAAACCATAAATCTCGGGTGTGTTTTCGGGGCAATATTGATGCAGAGGCTACCTATAATGGGAAAGTGTCTTCGATCAACGCTCCTTCATTTAAACAATGACAATGCTTCACCCTCCACAACTTAAGGTAGTAGGTTTTTTAGGCTTTAACATCCGACTTCCCTGTTCTCTCCACTGAGTTTTCATGCTGGCCATTGTGAACACCAGCATCACTTGTATGAATTTCTCTCAATATTATCGGTTGCTGCTGGTTGCTGGCTAGCATAAATTGGCTGAGACCAGTGTATCCAACTCCTGACACTTCAGGTCCGTAGACTGCTGTAATACAGAACTTGCCGACATTTTCAAACTTCATGGTGGTTTTACATATGTTACTTCCGGTGTTACTCATCACATCACGACAGCTGGCTCACATGTCTTCTTCACACCATCCGGTTTTCTCTAGAGAAACTTCGTGCCGTTAGGGCTGAATTTCAGCACATTTTTGAAATGGGGATAAATAACTTATTATTTTTTATTTTTGACTACAGCTTGATTCCACACTGTATTTTTGGTACAAGTATGAAATTTTCAGCATGGCTATCGGTAGCCCGAATTTAGCAGGCCGACAATAGATATTAGGCGTGCGCCGGCAGGGGATCGAACTTCGGACCATGTGCATGGTCGGCGAGAGTCCTAACCACTGTGCCACTGACGCACAGACCACCCAACATGCCATCATTTTCACCACTGCTTGTGGTGCTTAAGAAAACTGGCATGGACTGTAGGCCTTGCGGTGATTACCTGAGACTTAATGCTCAGACTATGCCAGGTCACTACCCATCCCTCACGTACACGAATTGACACCATCCTAGAAAGGTCCGGGTGCATTTGGTGATTTTGATCTGATATGTGCCTGCCATTATATCTCATAAATTCTGTAGATATTTGAGTTTGTGTGACGCCGGACATGTCACTCACGAAGCTCAGATCCTTTAGGGTCTTTTCGTCAGTCCAAAGTATGCCCGAAGCATAAATGGTGGCAGTAAGCTGCCTCTCTTAATTCCAGTAAACTCATGGAGGTTTCTGCTGTGAATAACTTGAGATGTTCCATTGTAAGGAATCAGAGAAGTTCACCAAATCAATTTAACCGTCTACCAGAAGTCTTTGTCTGTGCAGATTAAAACAAATTGCAGGCAGTAAGATTTTCAAGGCACAAGAACTCTCACACGTTTTGCTGGGTTCATTGTTAGAAATCACAGAATCTCAGTATTTTCCGTTATATAATCATAAATCTCATGAATAAACACCCATTACAGAGTGAGGTACATTTTTTACTAATTGAAGAAAAGGAAAACTAAATCACTCCTTATAAACAGGCGCATATGTAACCACCGTATCGACATGTGCTATGCTGATGCACTTTTTGCAATATATACACGCACGTTCTTCATAGCTCAAAAGCAGCGCCTTCTGTTACCGTGCTATTGGATGCATCTTGCTTTTGTTTATCTTGTAAAAGATCCCTTAGGTTATACGTAGCCTAGACTTAAACCTGATTCAAAATTATCATCAACAGTTCACTCACAATTTCTATTAGCAATATTAAAACCCCAGAGGGAAATGTTAGCAGGTGGTCTTTATTCTCGAAATTTCAGTCATCTAACAGCCATCCTTTGGAATGAAGACGACGGCGAGAATCCAGAACTGGTGATAGTAATCAGTCGTTTGGAGCACTCAAGGGAATCCAAACAGTCCTTTCAGTTAAACTAAGAGTTGCATATTGTTGATTATACGTTATTATTCTAGGAAACGATTCTGATTTGCATTGAAATTACTCTCACCTCAATGTAATTTTGTTAGGAAAACTCTCGGGATCGTTCCTAAACTTCTCAAATTCACAGTATCTGCGTGAATTTATAAATTCAAAAACAACAGGTAAAACTGCATGTGAACTTCAATTTTTCCAAGTTAACTGTTTTTCATACTGGATATTTTAAAACCCATGTTTTAGGGTAAATTAAGGTGGTGCTTCAAAATTTCCCCTTTTGGCCATTTCAAGGAACACACGTTTTAAATACGCATTATGACTATTGTCACTTAGCGACTAAATCCACTTTATATTTTGAAGGTTTTGAAAGGTTAAATTTTGGGTTTTAAAGGCGACTTAAATTATTACTCCGCATGCCTGGCAAAACAGCAAGATAGTAACAGCTTCATTTGGGGCTTAATGATTACACAATGTACAGATTTTTCATTTTAACTTCTTGAAGATATTGTAATACATATGTAAAATTGGCTTATTGGTGCCACTAGGAACACAAACAAATCAAAACTCCAGAATGATTTCCGAAACACCAGGTATGCTACAAGATCAGAATCTCAGTGCGGTGGTTGCACATTTAACTAGAGAGATGAATGCAGATGTGCCAGAGCAGCTTTGTGAATATCAACTCATATCACAGTAAACTGAACAGACTTCATCAGAGTCTCCTCAACACTACCTCTGATTACTGCAACCTAGCTGTCTGTTTAATGACGTTCTACAACCATTTTTACCTGTTTGATTGAACGAAGACGTCAGAATATTAAAATTTCTGTATATGAGACAGAGAGTAATCATATCCTTTTATTAACAATGCTTTTGGTTATCCTGAGGGAACTTGATACATGTGAATCCCAAGTTAAGATCCAAAAATATTATGCCACCATAAGATTGAAATCAGTCTAAATGAAAGAAAGAGTTCTGACAGCTCATGCTCACAAAGAATGGTTGCATAATTTGTGCGTGTTTGACTACATCACAACGCAAAATACAAAGTCCTATGTAAAGGCGGCTGTTTCGACACTTCTGTCAAGGTGACTACTTTTTCTTTGTTATGGACTGTTCATTTGCTTACTGACTACACCCAAATGTTCATTTTATCCATCTTTCAGTTAATTACATCTTTGAACTTTGATTTATTTTGACTTTGACTGCTATATACATTCAGGGTTCCACTTTGTATGAAAAGAATTTGGTAACAAATCTATTGAATTATGGTTTCTGGGTTTCCGAAATTAGGAACAGGATACATTGATTCATATATATATTTAAAATGTATGTGCATAAGAGCAGTTAAGTTTTGGTAGGCCAGACATGCTGCCACAAATATGTGTGTTCGATATGAAGTCGCTTTTTCTGCGCTCGGATATGTGGTGTAGTGACAACCTTTAAAAGCTTCACTTGTTTAATTATTGTGCTTATTTGCACTGTTAAACATATTTTGATCCCAAGTTTCAACCGTATTAATACAGTGTGAGGAGTTTTAACTGAAGCTCTAGTTCCTGATGGTTGAATTTAACTGATGCACATATCACTAAAGAAATGGTAAACTAAATTAGGCACCCCGTTGCATGGCCTACAACCAGTTAAGTTTGCAGGTAGAATAAGCAAATTACATTATACCTTATGATCTCAATTTGCTGAACGAGTTCCATGAAGATCGAGCTGTTGACCACCATATGAACATTGAAATAATTGGAGGAACTTAAACGCACCGTATAGAAAGCTTAGTATGATAACCGGTCTCTTAGCGACTTTGAAATTTCGGGGTATATTTAACAAGAGAAATATAGTATTTCGGGACGCCGTTAACCATGGTCACCTAATTGAACTATTATGCGGTTTTTAGTGATATCTGCTTGTAATTAGCTGCTCAAGACCAGCTATTAGATAGTCCAAGGAGACTGCTATGATTCAACGTCGCCGGAATGTCTGTTGAGCGACCTTTACAGACCTCTATTCTGTCGGTTAAGGAACTAAGCTGCTCTGAAGAGCGAAATGCTGACATAGCAGAGTCTTCTGAAAACCTTGAGTAGGATATGCGTTTCGGCATGGGATTATTCTCTGTCAAGTGTAAAGTGATAGTGTAGGACTGGATTACATCAGTTTACGGTTAAACACTGGAGGAGTAAAATGCTGTGTTGCTTCAGTTGTAATTGACTGACTGCCTACGAAATCTCTGTGCACATTTTAGTATTTCTCCGTTCGCTTCATCTGTAAAGCAGGAGTGATATCTGGTTACCCATGAGATGATGTGTATACTGTGCACCAGTTCACTCTGTCCTTCTTCATGGCTGAGACAGGCATTAAAAATGGAACGTATGAAAAGTCTAGCCATATTTGACCGTCTATGTCTATCATCAATTTCCCTTGCTAAGCTTTAAGATCTGGCCAGTAATAATGAAGTTAGGCAGAGTATTAGGTAAGGAAGGAAGGAAAGTTAATCCATGTTGTGAAACTCCGTCGGTTGAGGTGGTTAGGACGTGTTACAAATATAGAGTATTTAATATCAACAAGCGCTGCTAACTGTAGTAATAATAGGTTGAAAGAGATAGGTAGTTGGACGAAAACATGCCACTTATCCATGAATTTTGTGACCATTGGATTGAGTCACGTAGAGATGTATAGACACTGAAAACCAACAGCTGGGAACTGTTGGTGACTTGGCCCAAAGTCGTCACCAATGGCATAGTTGCCTTCACTGGTTGTGATCTTCCAGACTCACTATATTTTAGTGGTTACTCGTATGATAATTAATTCTCCCACATATTTCCGTTTATTATGGATTCTTAGCATTGTTTCTATCTTTGTGTTTTGCATGAATTGTTGCAACTTAAACCATTGCAGTTTTGTTCACTTTTGTATCGTTAAATTAGTTAGTTTAAGTGCATCCACACAGTAACATTTTTAGTGATATGGCGTAGTATCTAGTCATCCCTCTAAGTATTTTCGACCAGAAATGTGTGCAGAGAATTCCCAGGTTAACACAGGGACTATGGTTTAATGTCATGTCACGCTATCTTCACCTATACCTTCCATTTCTTACGTTTTAATTTTTCAGCGTATAACTCTGTAGAAATGCAACAGTTCAAGTTGCCACACTTCATAGAGCACAAAAGTAGATAAAATGTTTAAAGTAACTATAATGAACAGAAATGTCTGTCTGTCTGTCTGTTTTCGACATAGAACTATACACAAAAAACAGACAGAAATGTACGGACGAAGAGTATGTAGGGAAAAGCGAGGATTTCGTATATTCAGGAGATTATAAGGAGTGAATGCATCCACGTCACTGAACTATTTTGAGCAATAACACCAACAGCGTCATGCCCTTACTTCTTAGCGTCTCAAGCATCCCAGTCACGCCGTCTATACTTTACCACCTGGCTCAAACCAACGGTCACTGGTGTCATTGTTTCATATCATATTTTGGTTTCACCACCTCTAACTTTTTTCGATACCAGCTAACATTGCCTGATGAGGAAGGTGATGGTTTGACATGCGTGACAAGTTTCTTAGCCATCTTAATTGATATAGCTTCACAACCTCATCCATTGGTCTTCTCTCCTTACCTAACTCTACCTCTGACCTCAATACCACTCAATTTGTTATGCCACTTAACACGGGTGATAGAAAAGAAACATCTGTAGTCAAAGACAACTAGCCTCTTCAGGTCTTCCACTTTCAGTGGCCGTGTTACATCCCTAGAGGACGGAATGAATAGCTGTACAAAACACCCTCTGATCGACAGCTAGATGGAGCATGATCGTCAGAGATGACATAGGTTGGTAAGAGCTGCATTGACACTTTCTTATCCTTTCTGAATTCTCGTCAGCCTAGATATTTTATCACTGAATTTAGGAATCACTGACATATAAGTCTCCTACTTAAGCAATCGGATTAACAGAACCAATCTGGAAAGATCAGATGGTACTTCTATCAGATTTTTGTTGACTCATATTTCAACAGTGTTAAATATTTAAATATTGTTATTGCTTTGATTTTCAATTGTTGATCTTGGGTTAATCCCTGATATGTGACGAAAATTGGTGAAAGTGTGAAGACTTCATATTTCCTATTTTTATTCACTTAAGGAATCGCTTTATACATAGTCATATGGCCACATCTTTCCACTAATTATCAGTTTATTATTTATTTCAAAAGATGGTTTCGGAAGCAGTGTGTCATAACCACTCAAGCTAATTGATTCAAAAGGTTCATGAATTTAAGCCGTATTATTCTGGTTTTCTGTTATCTGTAGGTGACGTTTTGTTAGTATGTCTAAAATAGTTTTTGTAGCTCCACATTTCACCAACAATAAGCATAAAAAATCAACTTTTATGACACGTGATTTTGTTCTGTTTGAAAATACCTGATTTACTCATCTGGCTAGTAATCATACTAAATTTCGCATAAACTGTTTTATTTTGTTACAGTGCATTTCAATGAGTTGGCATCAGCCTGGTCTTGATGTTAGTGCTGCTCCTTTACATCAGATAACTCCTCATGGTCTCTTGTCAAGTGGATATATTCCTGGGTTTGATCAAAGTGGAGGTGGTATGGATTCAGAGAGTACACTTCTGACAGAGCAGCGAGCTCAGTTGACGGGAAGAGAACTTCAGCAACTTCTCAGTGTAGCTCACCAAAGTTTGGACGAAGCTCAGGAAAGGTATTTAGATTGATATTGAACATGCTTTTGTTAAAATTCCAAGTAAAATCACATTCTTTTTGGCAAGTCTTCACGAAAAATGAATAACTATGTTGCATTCATTTGGGATAAGTGATATGATGAGTCCCTCTAGGGTTGAGTAACAAGCTGTAACCACTCTTGTCAATCAATTCAGGTTTGAAGACAATTAATCATCGATAACCTTGAATGATAGACATGTAGTTATCTGTCTTATATACTCGTCAATTTCAGTTATCTTTCGAGACTTTTATTATACTTGCCTCTTTCAGTGCTACTCATACATGCAGTCATTGGCTTCACATCCTATTGATCATTCTTAGGATACTCGAACCAATACCAAACGAGAGACACTTAATAATGTGGCAAAACAGAAATAATACTTTTGCAGTGTCCTCAGATAGATTGATATATATCCATATAATATGTGTGTTTGTTTGACAGTCTGATATATTTTGCTATGTATATATGGACCGATATTCCATTATAATTAGCCAATCATGTTAAGACTGTCTATTGATTTGTTCATTTTGAATATTCGCTCACACACTTGTTCGGACATTCATATTTTTGCTCTCACACTCTTGTGTGATATTGATTCTCCTTGTGTTTTGGAAAATAGAAGTATCATCGCAAACCTAGTGGTCTTCTGATTTCCGTCTTTCTTGCGTCAGGACTATTAAATTCTCGACCAGTACATAACATAGATGTAATATAAATGCGTTATTACTGTGTATGTGTGTGTGTGATTAGAATTGCCAAGTCTGTTTATCCAGATGTGTTGAAGCTTTCTCAATAGATTTTGATATGCTGTATGAATGAATAACTGAACCTGTTAGGTATATTTTTAAAGTTGGATTTACTGAAGACTGTCGCGACTTGTGGCGAGTTCATTATAAATTGGAGTTCATTAAAAACGAATACTTACTAATGTGATGGATTTTCTTATTCTGCATCTGATAGCTTTCATTTTTAATTGTACATATTCTTCTGTAACGAATGTGTTTGCATATTGGTAACATTTCTTACTGCAGCACTGGGTGGTGTGGGTTTGAATCTCAGGAGGGACATGATCTCCTTCAAGGTTATAGATACACCTTGCTGACAAGTGCCAACTAGCACGAAACCTAGGTCCAAGGCTTCCTGTGGCCGATTGCCTCCAACCATCTAAAATCATCAAATCTTGGAAGTGTTTTTGAATGGAAACATTTGGCATGACGTAAGGAGTAATTAAAAAGGGTAAACGTAGAAAACACAAAACACATTCTTAATGCATCCTGACTGGTCTTCTAGTGATTAAAGGCATAATCTAGTCTTCTAGTATTCAAAAAGAATAAAATTGATCTTGTGGCATCTCGTAACCTTTTCATCGTGAAGTAGTTCTCTTCTGCGTCGGCGTCGATCGTACGCATTAGTTTGTACCCAGTAATAACAGTATTAAATAATAGCAAAATTGTTAATGAAGGGATTCAATTATTTTATTGATTATTCAAGACTATTGCCCCCTTATTGGGTCATCTGTTGTAGTGTTACGTTTCATGCGGAAATCATCCGTAAAGATTTCAGTCCGTATGTTCGGCTCTCTGAGTTGAGTTAAACCGTGTACACCGTTGTTAACTTAAGTCCCAAAGGAGCAAAATGGCCGTCCGGTGTTGAGATCACTTCGATGTAGCTAGCAATTTAAGTAATACTGCGTTGGTGGCACAGCGGTTAGGATGCTCACTGACCATGCATATGATCAGCCTGCAAAATTTGGGCTACGAATATCAAATGCTGAAAATTGCATACTTGTATCAAAAATACTGTGTGGAGTCAAGCTATAATAAAATAAATAAATAAAAGTCAGATGTGTTAGTCTATTTTCGCTCAGGATGTGGGGCTGTAGCTTAATTGAATGGACACGGCTTTCATTTATAGTTGACCTTCGGTTTGAACTAGACTTTGTTCGCTGTGATTGTGACAACCAGATAGCATCGTCAGTCCTTATAAAATACTCCGATGTGTACATGGCTGTTACTCAACACTTCGTTCATTACTATTTCACAACCGGAAGTTGACATGCATACTTACATATCATTAGTATTATGTAACTAACTATCAACTCTTCGTATTGTTTTTTTTTGTTTTGCTCTTATAGGAAACAGTCATTAAATAGCCATAGATTAAAACCGGCTTTATATAGTGTATTTTGTGAAATTAAGGAAAAAACAGGTTAGTTTGTTTGTAGATAGTTTTCTTGTAATTACTGTATGCATTTCGCTTTTACACTGAGCATACCATTTACTTTCTAAAAGTCTGTCTGTGTATAGTAGGTGCTTTGAGTACAGTGTATTCGATTATTTACATATGTGAAGTGTGTTGCTGATTGATATGCAATCATATCAGAAGCGTGAACCCCCTGGTCAGATTGTTGACGAGTATGAAATGGTCGTTCATTTCTGTTTTTTTATTTCTAAGTCGTAGTTTACAGATACAGTACATTACTCATCAAGGAAGGCGTTGACTCATTATGTGTTTAACACGTATAATAATCATTTCAAACGACAATGAACTACCGCCTTGTTGATTGTTGACTGACGGTGTTCCACCTAACTTGAGTTATTTAATAAAGATATTTGGAATCAGCAATTGTCTCTCACAGTCCTTCTAGAAAGGTAGCTTATATTTCTCTAAATAATTGTAGTATATTAATAGTAAACTCGTGAGTTTGAGGTGACGTAATCAGTTAGGCATGTCTTTCCACCAGTAGTAGGTCATAGATTTACATTCCGAAAATGAATCAGTATGGCAGTATCACAAATGCCATGCGATGGTAGTCATAAGTGTGCCTTTAAAAACAGTGTTTTCATTCTTCACGCTAAGATTTTGTCTTAGCAACTACCAGTATGGGTTTTGCACTGCAGTTATGTACTTTATAATTTGCGAAACCTGTTATCACTTAGTTTGTTAAAAAAGCACTTCTAGTGGTTCCGAATACGTCGCAACTTTGAAAAATACCCTCTTCAACAGCATCCCAGCGACTATGGATATTACCTTAATCTCTTCGTGAGGCTTTTTGTTTTTACAGATATGTGGAATATTTTAATGTATGCTGAATATTATTTGATTCTATTTGTTTTGTTTTTGATAACAATTAATGGTCAGTTAGTTATCTGTAGATTGAATCAACCGCCAGGAGTAATCGCTATTTTGAATGCCTGTCTGTTATAATTTCAATAACTTCCCTGTAGAAAAATATTTAGAAATGAAACGCTTGGAAATATTATTTGATTTTACAAGTTTGACCTCGGATTGATATCAGTTGAAGAACCTCTGAAAACCAGTAAGTACTGGACAGCTGCTTTCAATGGTTCTTTAACCGCTTTCAAACCGCGGTCAAACTCGTAGAAACAAATCCAATCCTTACAAACCGACTATTGAAAATTAATCTGATGCTCGCTAGTGACTCGTTACAGAACGGAGTTTCCTGAAGTTCTTAGTGAGAAGTCGTGACCAGTGAGGTCCATCCAGATGTCACGTGTGAGGATGGATGTCCCTCCGGTGATTATTAGTTGGTGGTCGTGTTAAATCACGGATTGGTAGAAGTTGAAATTCATGGACCATTGAATCGGCTTCCAGTGGCTGGATGGTATACGAGCTTACCTTGTAACCGGAAGGTCCTGGGTTCTAATCCCAGTGGGTGCGTACTGTTGATGACCCCAAAACTAGAATAAAATAGGTGTCCAGCACTCCCTGGTTTCCACCGGTTCTCTAACTGATATCAATCCGTGGTCAAACTCGTAATAATAATTTTAATCCTTACAAACCAAGTATTGAAAATATTATTTGTGCATTTCTGTTGATTTACTGAAAAGAAACATCTAGTTTCGTTTGTTTCACTTCTAATAAATATAGTTTTCGTTTTCTAAAATAATTTCAGCTTTAAGCCTTCGTAACTCTGCTGCTTCCGCTGTGGAAGATGAAGCTAACTCACCAGATCCACAGTTACTACGCCTGGACAAAATGTTAGTTGCTGAAGGTGTAACTGGTCCGGGAGGCGGTTTAAACAGTGATCTTAGTGATGGTCCCGGAGATTTGGGTGGTGGACCGGTTGGCTTAGGACCTGGTGGTGCTGGTGATTGTAATCAAATTGAACATGCTGATTATCGTGCTAAATTATCACAAATCCGTCAGATATACCATGCAGAATTAGAAAAGTATAAAAATGTAAGTTTTACAATTTTTGATTGATACATATTTTTGCCGCGAAGTGGTTTGCAGACTTCAAGAGTTTTTGGTGTGAAATATAAAGAAATCTGTAGGCATGGAATGTAATTTCTACTGTAATTCTTTTATTTTGAAAGGAGTAGATGAAAAGTGAATATTCGTGTTTATGACTAGTAGCAACAAATCAGATCACATTAATAAACGCCAAATACTAAATAACACCAGATTATAGAAAGTTTCTGGATAAAAAAAACCGAAGAATTAGGCAATTTCTGACGAAACTGTTAAATCTGTATATAAACAACGTAGAAAGAGTCCCATCAGTTGTTTAGACAAAATTAAAGTGTATGTGCAGTTATGTGATCAGGGACTATTAATTAATCGTGGGAAATATTCTGGTATTTGCCGATATTTTAGATATTGGGTGAAAATCAGTTATTTGTTTTCGCGTATTCAGCAATTGATTTCGTAACTGAGATTCTTCAGCGTGGCAATGGAATTTCCTGTCGAACTGAACGTTAAAGTGGCTCTCAAATAACACTTAAATACCTGTTAGTAATTACGTCAGAATAATTAGAGACGGAAAAATCAGTTAAAATAGTACCGATACGGATGTAAAAATATTACATTTTTATGATGGATATATGCAGAGATCATTTTAACATTTTGGAGAAGAATTGAGCTGTACAAACTTCTTTTGAATACACAAGTTTGGCTTTCTCAAGTGAATGTCAATATTTTCTGTTGTATATGTTCGAACTAGTAAGGTTAGGTGATCTGTGATTAGATGTCTTTCAAAGCTCTATCTCTCTACGTCGATGTGATGTCACATATTAATAAGGTGTGTCTTTATAGCGCCAGTTATCAATTTTGTCTGTTCTTTGGGTAGCACTGATGCTTATTATTATTATTATTTCCTTTAGTTCCTAGAGGAACATAGGGCTTCAGCCGCGCGTCTCCATTGCGTTCGGTTTTCTGCCAACGTTTTCACCCCGCTCCAAGTCTGCCCACATGCTTTCGTATCCTCTTCACATGACCTCCTCCAAGTCACCCTCACACTGACGACCAACCCGCCGCTTCCCTTTCGGCTTCCACTCGAGCGATGGCTTGTCTAGTGATGTCACTTGATGGTTTCCTCAGAGTATGGCCAATCCATCTCCATTTCTTTCTGCCTATTTGTTGCACAATCGGTTCCTGGTGGGTTGGTTCGCTCATTGCCAGAGATCCCTGTTGCTGATGTTTTCTGGCCATCTGATCTTGAGTACTATTAAGCGAGGACAACTGTTAATGAAGGTCTGTAGTTTGTTTGAGGTGCTCTTTATGACGCACTGGCCAAGTGTCTGATCCGTGTAGTAGCACTGACTTCACATTGGAGTTGAAAATCCGGATCTTATTTTTGATGCTGAGTGCTGTTGACCTCCACACAGATTTGAGAGTAATGAAAGCTTGTCTTGCTTTTCCGATTCTGGCTTTGATATCCTCGTCAGTTCCACCTGTAATTGAAACGATGCTTCCCAGGTAGGTAAAAGAGGTTGTTTCTTTCAGGTCCCTCCCATTTATGCTGGCTGATTGTTGTTGTTGCTGTTGGTGTTGGCCAGGAATCTTCATCATCTCTGTTTTCTCTATGTTTGGAGGAAAATATATCTTTGATGCTTCTTCTGCCAGCTTGTTGCTTTTCACTTGCATATCTTCCAGTTTGTGGGAAACCAGACATATATCATCGGTGGAGTCCAGATCCTCCAAGTTTTTTGTGTGGTTCCATTTTATGCCTGTTTCCTCATTGCCCGCTATTTGTCGCATTACCCAATCTACTGCAATCAGGAAAATAATTAGCGATAGTAGGCAACCCTGCTTCACTCCCGTCCTCACTTCGAAGGATTCCGTAAGTTTCCCGTTGTGGATTACTTGGCATGCAGCATTGTCGTACAACTGTTGGATGAGATGTGTAATTGTCGGTGGCACCCCGTAGTAGCGAAGTAGTTGCCAAATCACCTCTCGATCGACGCTATCGAATGCCTGATGCTTAGTGCTTGGGAATACGTCTGTGAACTTGATTAAATGGTGAAAGACAAAAAGTTAGGAATGATATTGAGGAAAAGGTTAGTACAAAAAGATTACTGATATTAGAAAGTAATAACAGCCTAAATGCTCTAATGGAGTAAATACATGACCTCTATGGAATTCTTGTGCCTGACTTATTACTTTTGCTTGTTGTCACCCACAAGAGATTCAAAATAAACTGTAGGGTAGACAGTTGAAATTATGCAGATTTTAGAACGTTCAATTTTTTTTTCACAAAAGTATCACTTCTAGTCTCTTAACTCAGTATTTTCTTAGATGGTAACCAAAGTTGATCAGTTAACCATTCTCAATTATTTAAGTATACTAACAGTCGTTTGTACATCAATTATCTAAAGCATACTTCATGATGTAGGTCGTTACTCTTTCTTTCTTTCTCTTGATGACTTGACGGTAGATTGCTAATTTAAAGTGAAATAATCTTTTAAAAGAGTAATGTGTTACAAATTAAATTATGTTGAGCTACTAATTCTTTATATTTTCAGACATACTTCTCGTCTGCCATTAATGTTGGTGTATTGTATGTAGCTTCAAATCTCACATTTTGTGGAATTAAAAAAGGAGATATGTGTGACGTTGTACGTGTGTGTGTGTGTGTCGATAAATTGTTTCTTGAAATAACCTAACTCAACAACTTTGCTCTTTTTTTAAAAATCTTTTTGCTTATTTCATAATTAATTCATACATTGCTTTCATTCTCTTTTATTATTATTACTGTTAAATAGGCATGCGATGAATTCACAGGACATGTTATCAATTTATTACGGGAACAGAGTCGTAGTCGACCTATCAGTCCAGCAGAGATTGAACTTATGGTTGGCATAATTCGACGAAAATTTCGAGCTATCGAAACACAACTGAAACAAAGTACTTGTGAAGCAGTTATGATACTAAGATCGAGATTTTTAGACGCAAGGTTAGTTGACAGACAATCCTTTTATAAATAATTATTGTATCACAGAAAGTTGTTTCCAAAACATTTTTAGTAAGGCTTCAAGCAAATGTGTACGAGAATTTAAGATAATCTCAGCGGACTTACTTACATGGTTGATCGCTCCACTTCATAAAAAAGAGTATACATCTTCCCGTGATTTTCACAGAGAGTTCAGTTAAATTAATTTTTTATATAATGTCGTGAAGCTCATAGTGTTACAAAGACTAGGTGCGACCCGGGGATGATAAAGTCGAGAAAACCGACTAGGTTTCGATCTCGAATAAAGATTCACTGATCATATCGCCACCTTTCAAATCACCCTTTACGGTTGGGGAGTGGAACATTCAAATGTGTTGACCACTTCTTTTATTTAGGTGATTGTTGACAGAATCTGAGTGCGGATACAGAGGGCTCGATTGATATTCGCTAGATTGCTTCATATGTGGCGCAAGCTTTAATACTTGGCTATCTATGTGAAACGACACGTATTCTATGGAGGTGTTCACTCTGTCCTACCGTCTAGTTGTACGATGTGGCTAAGGTGAAAACTACATCTGAATAGTATGTAGGGATGTCATTTCAATCACTGAATTATATACTTCGTTAAGATATTACTAAATAGCCATGAGTCTAGGTTTCACACTTGTTCACACTTAACTTATCCTCCTGTATATTCTTGCAATATCAGATACTCTTTCTCTTATTGAGATAAACGCTGGATCTCTGCCTTGATTAGTTATATTTACTATGCTATACCTTTGTTATCATCAATACTTTATGGATTTAATCAACGATTTTTTTTTCAATTTGATTTCTTTTTAGACGTAAACGTCGAAACTTCAGCAAAGAGGCCACAGAAGTACTCAATGAGTATTTCTATTCCCATTTGGCTAATCCATATCCTTCAGAGGAAGCCAAAGAAGAGTTAGCTAAAAAATGTGGAATAACAGTTTCACAGGTTAGTTATAGTTCAAAAACTAATGTAGAAAAATTGCTTATACTATTTTTGATAATACTTTTGTGTATTGGCTAAATGGTAGAATGAATTGTAGACATTCCTTTCAAATTTTGACTCAACAATGTGGTATGCTTATATTTAAGTATTGCTGTTGTTTTCTCACGAAGATATTTGATGCTAGTAATTTTTTATTTATTCTGATTTGTGAATTTTCCACCAATTGATTACGTGATTTCATCATGCTTCATTAAGAGGCGCTAATGTGTATACGACATGCGTGTGTGACACAGCGGTTAGGACGCTCGCCAACCATGCACATGGTCCGGGGTTCAATCCCCGACCGACGCACTCCTTTACAGCGCTAAGCCAGTAGTGAAACTGGTAAAGCGGAAAGGTTAGGCATGAGGCTAGCAACCCCATCCTGTAAAAATAAATACCACTGCTACATAAACTTCAAGCCTCTAGCTTGGAGTCTTATGTTCCACTGGGAACTTGAAGGAAATAATTGCATATACGACAGGTATATGAAACTGAAGGAATCAATAGAGTGAGGATTCCATCACACAGTAGATTTATTAGATAAAGTCATATTTTGATGCAGTATTATTCACTGATGACGTCCTGAGAACAATTTATTGCTCATCATCATATTAAGGCACGCACATAACTTTCCATCCTTTAATTTTATTGGTAGTTATACTTTCCATATCTCTAGTATCTATTCAAACTCACGTAGTCGTGTAAGGGCTTATGGGGAATTGTCATCTGAATTGGTAACAACCAGTGGTGTCCGACAGGGATGTCCACTTTCCCCATTTCTCTTTAACTTCATCATAGATATGCTGATGGAAGTATCCTTAACTGAACGTAATGACTTAGGAATCGACTTGTTACCAGGGAATAGTCTTATGGACTTAGAATATGCAGATGACATAGTTATGTTAAGGGAGGATCCTGACAAAATGCAGAGTCTTCTGAACACCTTGAGCAGCAATCTTCGTATGTTTGGCATGCGATTCGCCCCTACAAAATGTAAGATGCTGCTACAGGAATGGACCACGTCAACCCTAACTTAGTGATAGGGAGTGAAGTGATAGAACATGTTGACCACTTCACCTATTTGGGAAGTTGTATTAGCACCAACGGACTGATTGGCGATGAAATCTCAGCACGGATCCGAAAAGCTCGAGCTGCTTTCGCTGACTTACACCATCTCTGGCGTAGGCGTGACATCCGGTTATCAACCAAGGGACGTGTGTACTGCTCATCAGTTCGCTCCGTCCTTCTCTATGGCTCTGAAACATGGCCAATACGAGTTGAAGACATGAAAAGGTTGACTGCTTTCGATCATAGATGTCTGCGATCTCTGTCTCACGTTAGGTGGTTTCACAAGGTAAGTAATGTTGACGTTAGGCGTAGAGTGTTGGGCAAAGAGGGAAAATCAATCGACGAGGCTATAAAGTTACATAGATTTAGATGGCTAGGTCACGTGCTGCGCATGCCTAACCACCGCCTCCCCCGACGGGCATTACTAGCTGACAGAGATGCAGGTTGGAAAAGAGCCAGTGGTGGTCAAACAAAAACATGGCCTCATCAATCCATGAAATCCTTGACAGTTAAACTGAGTCAGGTAGGGAGATGCAGACTCCCGGGTTGGGGCCCTCGGGACTCTAGGAATCAATGGCTGGAGACAATAGGTGACTCGGCTCAAAATCGTTGTCAATGGCCAGCGCAGATGTATTCAGTCTCTGTAATTTTTCATATTTCTTTCCACCATTACCCATTCTGTTTCACTCTTATACCTGTCAAACTCTATTGATTCTCTCCACTCATCTTCTTGTCTACCTCTGTGTGCTATTTGGAACGTGGCAACTCGAACTGCTGCACTTCGGTGCCAAGTTCTATGTTGAATCCAGACAGACAGACAGACTAGTATTGATAGTTGAGTCATTCCTATTGTACCTATTGGGTGGAGATTCGATAAACAAAGACTTATTGATCAACCTCTCCACTCCCCTAACTATATTACTTTTTAGAACTGCAATTCTGCCCACCACCCACCCTATTGTGTGGTTGTGTGTTAATACATGCTTTGCAATAGCAGAATTTTTCTGTGGGGTCTTTCTTTGTGGGTTCAATCATTTTGCACAGAGTTAAATACTTATGTTCTGATAATCTGTCTATCTCCGACCTACTAATCCGACCCATTTCACAGTCATTATGAGATATTTCATAGATTACGTTAATTTGTCTAATTGGATCTATAGGGTTCTACACAGACTACAGGACTTGTCCCTGAGTATGCTTGTAGATTCAAATGCCACTCTGGTTCCTGTTCTATTAGGATTTCTGTGTAGAGTTTTAAATGTTACTGCTTTATATGGAATTATAATCTACGAGAGTGCCCGAGTACTATTCTTGTATCCGTAGAACGATGATCTTTTGAGAACAACCTACGATACACTTCTGATAACCGTGTTCAACTGCATATATGATTTAATAAAGCAATATGAATAATTAAAAAAAATTTGATACCCAAATTGTGTTCAGGTTGATTATGCTGCTATATATTTCTGGTCTGTCAATATGCCTTAGAAAAATTCAGAGTAAGCAATTCACTAATGATGATAATAATATACCTACTGGAAAGAAAAATAATTGGAGGTTCTTGTAACAGACCACTGAATCGTTAGTAAAAACAATTCGTCTAATTGACGTACTTGCTTGTCGATCATAGATAGATTCATAATCAAAATGTATGTAGCTCATAGAATACAAGAAATAATACCATTATGCTTTTGCGTGCATGGAATTGAAGAGATAGTACTGGTAGTAATAATAATAATAAGTAAATTGCAATTTTTTGTTAGCTGTAGGACGTTTTTTTAGCTACAATATTTAAACTAACTCTAGGCTGATGGTGTGTGTATGAGTGTCCTAAGTTTGTTATAGTTTACAGAGGTCTTTATAAGTGTTGCCGTGTAGGGATTTGATTGGTTACAGGTTTAATCACAGGCTGAGATCATTTAGAGAACTGCTAGAAAACCATGAACAGCTGTTTCGTCTCAGTTTGGGACTCTTTCGAGGTACTCACCCTCTGGGATTCGAACCCATGGCCTTCTGGTTACAAGGTGAGCTCATAGACCATTAAGCCACTGGAATCAGATTCAATTGCCCATGAATTCCAACTCCTGGCAATTCGTGACCACCAACCACTGTGTGTCATAGGCGAGTAACTGTTCTCTTACCAGGACTGGTGAATCCTACTGGTGGTTACGACTTCTGGCTTGAACTCCAGGTAACTACCCGTACAAGAACAGTCGCTATTGGACGTCAAGTTAGTTTTAAAGTGTTTGTTTGGTGTTTGATGTTTGGTTACTGGTCTTATCACAAGCTAACTGTCAAATGCAAAATATGATGCTTTCAGTTAACTGATTTATTATTTAATAACTTTTCAGGTATCTAACTGGTTTGGTAACAAACGCATTCGTTATAAAAAGAATATTGTGAAAGCTCAAGAAGAGGCAAATATGTATGCTGCGGCAACGGCAGCAGCGGCGGCTGCAGCTGGTTCAGTAGCCTCTGGAACTGGCGGTCCAACATCATCTGATGAGGTAAGCGAGGTTTTTATGTGTTTTACACTCAGCTGTTGATTATCATACCTAAAATGATTCCTGACTTTTACTCATGTACCTATCCGCCGAATTCGCTGATAGATAAGCAGAGTGATGAAACAATATTTATAGTAAACTGTCGAACCTACTGTATTTAACAGTAGTATGTTGTCAGAACAAATCATGGAATACCAATCAAACCTTGTACCTTGTACTTTATAGACTTTGAGAAGGCCTTCGACAGCGTTGACCGCGAAGTAATTTGGAAACTACTCGAGTACTATGGCGTACTCCAAATATTCATCAACCTTATTCAACAGCTGTACGACAACGGCACATGTCAAGTGATCCACAACGGAAAACTCAGTGAAGCGTCTGGAGTAAACACAGGAGTCAGACAAGGGTGCTTATTATCACCAATGATATTCCTAATTGTGGTGGACTGGATTATGCGTCAGACAGTGGGAAACGAGAAGACAGGAATATCCTGGACCGACGCGAAGAACCTAGAAGACCTGGATTTCGCATGTGGATGATTTATGTTTGATGTCACACAAAATCGAAGACTTACAAGCGAAAACCGACAAACTGGTCGAAGGAGCGGCCAGCGAAGACAGGACTCCAGGTGAACATAGACAAGACGGAGGTTATAAAAATAACCAGTCAACAACAACAGCAGCAACATCCAGCGTCAATCACCATCAACGGGAGGGATTTGAAAGAGGTTGCTTCATTCACTCACTGATCTAGGGAGGATTGTCTCAACTACAGGCAGTCGGAACGGATGAGGATGTCAAGTCGAGAATCGGGAAGGCAGGCGAGAAACACATTCATCAACCTGAAACCAATTTGGAAATCTTCGTCACTCAGCCAATATCAACAACAAAATTCGGTCGGATTTTCCATACAAGCGCCAAGTCGGTCAGTTCTTCTATACAGATCAAAAACTTGGCGGCCTGTCACAAAGAATATTTCCAACAGCCTGTTGCAGACCTTTACCAACAACTGCCTCCGCTCTATACTGAAGACCAGATGGCCGGGCCGGAAAGAATCACCAACAAGAAACTATGGGAAAAAACAAACAAAACAAGAACCAGTTGCCCAATTAATATTCAGGAGAAAGTGGATTGAGATTGGACACTCGCTGAGGACACCACCGGGTGACATCGCGCGCGCGTCAGGTCATTGCTCGAGTGGAACCAGGCCGAAAGGGAAGCAGCGAGTGGGACGTCAGTGCAAGGGTGACATGGAGGAGATCGTGTGAAGAAGAGTTGAAAGAGTATGGGCTAACATTGATGCAGGCAAAAAGACGGCAGAAGGAAGACAGAAGCAAGTGGAGATGTGCAGTTGAAGCCCTATGTTGTACTAGGAACCCAAGGAAACACTAATAATAATGTTATCAGTATTGTACAAAGTTTTCCATACAAATTTCAGCTGTTCACCCAGGTACCTTTCCTTAACATCATCTGCATGTTAAACGCTTACTTTGCGTATCAATCAATTAGGTAAATCGATTGGTGAGAATGTTAACGTTATATATTTGAGGGGTAACCGAGTGTTACTATTCCATCTATTTTGATATGATAGTGTTAACTAAAGCACACACATATATCGACAAATAACTGGAAATAACTAGATTATGACATTAATAATCTATATATTTTCTAATTGTTAATATAAAAAGAAAGTTTGAGCACTATAACTGTCCACAATTCCATGTTTAGATATATACATATCTATTTCTTTTAGTGTGTATTCGAAAGTAATGGAGGCAGTGATTATATATACGTATGGGAATTGGTTTCTCTTGCTTGAAAAAACTATTCTTAAAAGGAGAGTTTCCTGGAATATACACTATCTGATTGACTTTGTCTTCAGTGTGCTGCCTAAATTTCAATGATTGGTTCGCGTTTATTCCTACCAGAGGCCTCAGTCGTCTTCCTCGAGGTTAACTTGTTCTGACAATTTATTGGGATAGTTTATTCTTAATCGTTCGTGGTGTCCCCTTTACATTCGATGTGGTTGGGTGGTGGTGGTGAAGTGATCTGAATATATTTCGACTTCTGTTTGCTGACTTTCTGCTGAATATTCTAGTTATCCGCCCACTTCTTTAGTCAGGGTTCACCTCTTTTACTTTAGTTTTCCATGAATTTAGCTTCAGTTGGTTTATGATGGATGTCGATATTTTGCAAATATGTTACAGACTGCATATTTGTAGGGAAAACTCAACCCTGTGACCATAATTGTGCAACACCCTTATATTTTAAATGTACTTAAGTCTTATTATTGCATAATCATTTATCTTCATGCAGCTTTGAATTCTGTAAGAATAGAGTCTTCACGTCATGTTTGAGTACCATTCGCTGCTCATAGTTATATTGTGTTATTTGGCAACTAGGTTGTCGGACATGGTGATAATCATGTTTACTGATTTGCCTCTATCATCTGTGTCGTGTTGTAAAGTGTGACAACTGGTGATGATTTATTCCTCCTTGAAATTCCACATTGATTTCTCAACCAAACAGTAATATTCTCAACTTATTCTCTAATTGGGTGTCAGGGTAATCGATATTTTAGCTTACATAGCAGCTTTTGTAGTTAGATCGTTGGTTTATCGACTATGTATGGATTCCAATATTTCTCTTAATTATAGTTTAGTTGACATTACGTGCACAATATCCAGCTAAGAAGTCACACGTCAGAAATTCGCTCCATCTACCGAAGTTTTGATAGCCAGGTAGTCCTCACACAATAGGTGTAGGACATTGCCAGCTGCTGCATTAAATTGCAAGTGGTTACTGAGTAACATCGGCTGAAGTGCTTCTGATAGTTGATGTTACACTACTCTTATTCCTTTATTTGTCCTTCCCTCTATTATCTTTGTCTTTATCGATAACTGATGCTCGAATTAAAAATACGAGTTGTATACTGTTACGCTTTTTGTTTTTCTTTCTTTGATACTTTAGCATTCTGTTGGATACGGTCACCCTGGCTACGACTATGATGATTCCATGGGTCTTCAAAGACCTGTTCCTCAAATGTCCTGTCCACCTGACCATGACACGTGGATGGCTGGTGGAGGTGGAGTTCTTGGACCAGGTGGTATGGACGAACCTGACTGTAAACGCAGTAAACTTTAAAAGAGTGAGTTGTCTTCATCATCAGGCAGGCTGGTGAAGCACAACCTTAGTTGATAAATTTATCTTTTAATTGTTTCCTTTTTTCTTTTCCATCTCATAAACGTATATTTTTTGCCGGTTAGTCTATATATGTGTCTGGTAATTTTTATCCATTATTTTTAATTTCACATATGTTCCCTGGGTGGGGGTGGGTGGGTTTATGAGACAAAAAAAGATATTGTTCAACGCAATTAGTCTATACATATTGTGCATCTTATTTGTATTCTTATATTGATTTATTTGATGTAGTTTTTCTTTTTGTTCTTCTTTTTGTCTGATTTCTTTCTCTCCTGCGTCTATTTTTTTCCTTCGCTGTTTTCTCTATATACATTTGTCTATGATTGTTTTCTCCTTAAAGTACTTAATGTTATATAATTTTCAATTGTTTTCGTTAAATGATATATTTTATTCTCTTTAGCAGTTATACTTGATATGTTATCGTTTACTTGGGTATTAAAAAACAAGCAAGCAAGCAAACAAACATGATATTACCTTTGTCTGTATTAGTGTTGTAATTTATTATTATTATTACTATTATTATTATTGTTATTATTATCATGGTCATTTCTACCACTCACTCATTCATTCATTCATCCGTCCATTCATCTCTGCCTTTCGTATTCTCAGATAACCTGTCTACGATTATCCCATTCCTCTTTCACTCTTATCTAATGTTCCTCAATCTTTCATGGCTTATGTTTATTTTTGTTTGTTTTTTGGGGTTTTTTTGGTTGGGTATAGTTCTCTTTTCATTTCTTTTGGACCATTTTTTTCTCTCTCGGTAAGTTGTATGTTTCATAACTGTATCGTATGTAAACTACTGGTTCTTCTTTATTTACCTTCAATAAAACAGTTTAAATTACGGCCTTATTACTTCTAACAGTGATTTATTGGTCATCAATAATGAATATTTAAGCTGAATTGTTCGGAACAGATTTTCCTTGTACCACCAGGTTGAGTGGAACTTGAACCAACTAAAAATGGAGTTCAAGTATTGGTTTGTAGGGATTTCGTTGATTGGTTACAGGATTTCATTATAAGCTGACATTGGTTAGAGGACCATTGGAAAACCTTCAGGGAGTACTGGCCAGCTGTTTCGTCCTACTTTAGGACTCTTCATCAGCACGCACCCACCGGGGTTCGAACCCAGGACCTTCTGGTTACAAGGCGAGCTCGTAGACCATTAAGCCACTGGGACCGGATCCAATGGCCAGCCCAAGAATTCTAACTTCTGCCAGTTCACGATATAGCGCAACCGCTAGACAATGTCTTCGGCAAGTATTTGTTGCTTAAGCCACTGAACCACATCTTTTAGAAATGATTGACTTCTTGATAATTCATATCTACACTCATAAAGCACAATGGTAATCATGTAGTATTGAAATACAGCATTCAGTTTCTATGACATTCAATATTTTTGAAATCGTCAGATGTGAACAAACGACATCTGTGATATTATGTAATATTTAGTCTATCTCGGAATCTGTGTGGTTTTCGTCAGTATCTTCTTGTAAGTCTAGGGAATACGCATTGTAGAAGTCCATTTCAAGCTATCAGATATTATCTAAACTTCACATTAAATATGTATAATAAGATATCCAGCATTTGGCTTAGTAACGCAAATTGATTTATTGTAATTCATATCCATGTTCCTTTATGAATTTATTATTGCTTATCACCCATTATACATGAAGGTCCCATCGAATCAGCAACGTATTTACTTGAGTAGCGTTATCAGCTCACAGGTGGGTAATAAATCCGTTTCAATGTTACACATTAGAGAATTTCGGCGTAAATTAATTAGTAGATGCTTTGGTTATTCAGAAATTTCGCTTTCGGAAGAAGAAATCTATGAGGTCAGTTTTAATTATCCAAGCAATAAATATATGTCATTGTGATAGAGTCAGGCAAATGGATTTGTTGATATAAATCGTAAGCTATTATCTGTTTAAGTCAGTGTTATCTTCCCTGTTGATCTACTGGAGCGGAATACTCAACCTCTGTGGATGTATCGACGATTTCTGAGGATTAGCATAATGTTACTTGGTGGGAATATGATCAGCTGTGGAATGCAAGACGCACGTTTCGTCCTATTTAAGATTCATTAGCTGCACGTGACTGTAGTGCCCAGTGAACGTTGGTGTTCCCAATGAGACTTGAACTCATCTCATGTGTAACGGGCAACAGTTATTATTGGTTTAAATTAGGAGCCAGAGATCGAACATTTCAGTCCAATCAATCAACGGGAGAAAAAAGTGGTATTGAAAAAATAATAACTGATATCCGTTGCACAAGTGGTGGCCTTAGTGTGATCTAGTCGATAAAACTTTGACGTCTGAAACAATAATCGATGGGTTCGAGTGTCAGTGGGGATATCATCACTCACTCTGTCTACCAATTTACATGTACGTGCCAAAGCACATACATTGGAAGAACAGAAAGAAGGGTTATTTTCCGCACACATGCCAAAGAACCTGAGCCTGAAAAGTCCGCAAACATTAGACAGTTTGATTGCTCGTCATTTATTGGACACTGGTCATATTGTAGACAACCTGGAGTTGTTCAAAATAATCAACAAGCAAAAGGAACCTAGCTTGCTACGCTTTGCTGAAGCAATTGCTATCAAACGACTTAAATCAAATCTATGTACGCGGACAGAGACAGTGGTGAGTCTTACACTGCCTTGGTGATAAAAATATACAAAACTTTTATAAAAATAATAATAATTTTCCTTCACGTTCCCAGCGCTGGAACATAGGGCTTCAAGCTAGTGACTTGAAGTTTCTGTAGCAGTGTTTAATTTTACAGGATGGGGTTGCTAGCCCCATGCCCAACCTTTCCTCTTCACCAGCTTTACTTCTGGCTGAGTGAGGTAAAGGAGTGCGCCGGCCGGGGATCGAACCCAGGACCTTCTGATTACAAGGCGAGCTCGTAGACCATTAAGCCACTGGGACCGGATCCGATGGCCAGCCCAAGAATTCTAACTTCTGCCAGTTCACGATATAGCGCAACCGCTAGACAATGTCTTCGGCAAGTATTTGTTGCTTAAGCCACTGAACCACATCTTTTAGAAATGATTGACTTCTTGATAATTCATATCTACACTCATAAAGCACAATGGTAATCATGTAGTATTGAAATACAGCATTCAGTTTCTATGACATTCAATATTTTTGAAATCGTCAGATGTGAACAAACGACATCTGTGATATTATGTAATATTTAGTCTATCTCGGAATCTGTGTGGTTCTCGTCAGTATCTTCTTGTAAGTCTAGGGAATACGCATTGTAGAAGTCCATTTCAAGCTATCAGATATTATCTAAACTTCACATTAAATATGTATAATAAGATATCCAGCATTTGGCTTAGTAACGCAAATTGATTTATTGTAATTCATATCCATGTTCCTTTATGAATTTATTATTGCTTATCACCCATTATACATGAAGGTCCCATCGAATCAGCAACGTATTTACTTGAGTAGCGTTATCAGCTCACAGGTGGGTAATAAATCCGTTTCAATGTTACACATTAGAGAATTTCGGCGTAAATTAATTAGTAGATGCTTTGGTTATTCAGAAATTTCGCTTTCGGAAGAAGAAATCTATGAGGTCAGTTTTAATTATCCAAGCAATAAATATATGTCATTGTGATAGAGTCAGGCAAATGGATTTGTTGATATAAATCGTAAGCTATTATCTGTTTAAGTCAGTGTTATCTTCCCTGTTGATCTACTGGAGCGGAATACTCAACCTCTGTGGATGTATCGACGATTTCTGAGGATTAGCATAATGTTACTTGGTGGGAATATGATCAGCTGTGGAATGCAAGACGCACGTTTCGTCCTATTTAAGATTCATTAGCTGCACGTGACTGTAGTGCCCAGTGAACGTTGGTGTTCCCAATGAGACTTGAACTCATCTCATGTGTAACGGGCAACAGTTATTATTGGTTTAAATTAGGAGCCAGAGATCGAACATTTCAGTCCAATCAATCAACGGGAGAAAAAAGTGGTATTGAAAAAATAATAACTGATATCCGTTGCACAAGTGGTGGCCTTAGTGTGATCTAGTCGATAAAACTTTGACGTCTGAAACAATAATCGATGGGTTCGAGTGTCAGTGGGGATATCATCACTCACTCTGTCTACCAATTTACATGTACGTGCCAAAGCACATACATTGGAAGAACAGAAAGAAGGGTTATTTTCCGCACACATGCCAAAGAACCTGAGCCTGAAAAGTCCGCAAACATTAGACAGTTTGATTGCTCGTCATTTATTGGACACTGGTCATATTGTAGACAACCTGGAGTTGTTCAAAATAATCAACAAGCAAAAGGAACCTAGCTTGCTACGCTTTGCTGAAGCAATTGCTATCAAACGACTTAAATCAAATCTATGTACGCGGACAGAGACAGTGGTGAGTCTTACACTGCCTTGGTGATAAAAATATACAAAACTTTTATAAAAATAATAATAATTTTCCTTCACGTTCCCAGCGCTGGAACATAGGGCTTCAAGCTAGTGACTTGAAGTTTCTGTAGCAGTGTTTAATTTTACAGGATGGGGTTGCTAGCCCCATGCCCAACCTTTCCTCTTCACCAGCTTTACTTCTGGCTGAGTGAGGTAAAGGAGTGCGCCGGCCGGGGATCGAACCCAGGACCTTCTGATTACAAGGCGAGCTCGTAGACCATTAAGCCACTGGGACCGGATCCGATGGCCAGCCCAAGAATTCTAACTTCTGCCAGTTCACGATATAGCGCAACCGCTAGACAATGTCTTCGGCAAGTATTTGTTGCTTAAGCCACTGAACCACATCTTTTAGAAATGATTGACTTCTTGATAATTCATATCTACACTCATAAAGCACAATGGTAATCATGTAGTATTGAAATACAGCATTCAGTTTCTATGACATTCAATATTTTTGAAATCGTCAGATGTGAACAAACGACATCTGTGATATTATGTAATATTTAGTCTATCTCGGAATCTGTGTGGTTCTCGTCAGTATCTTCTTGTAAGTCTAGGGAATACGCATTGTAGAAGTCCATTTCAAGCTATCAGATATTATCTAAACTTCACATTAAATATGTATAATAAGATATCCAGCATTTGGCTTAGTAACGCAAATTGATTTATTGTAATTCATATCCATGTTCCTTTATGAATTTATTATTGCTTATCACCCATTATACATGAAGGTCCCATCGAATCAGCAACGTATTTACTTGAGTAGCGTTATCAGCTCACAGGTGGGTAATAAATCCGTTTCAATGTTACACATTAGAGAATTTCGGCGTAAATTAATTAGTAGATGCTTTGGTTATTCAGAAATTTCGCTTTCGGAAGAAGAAATCTATGAGGTCAGTTTTAATTATCCAAGCAATAAATATATGTCATTGTGATAGAGTCAGGCAAATGGATTTGTTGATATAAATCGTAAGCTATTATCTGTTTAAGTCAGTGTTATCTTCCCTGTTGATCTACTGGAGCGGAATACTCAACCTCTGTGGATGTATCGACGATTTCTGAGGATTAGCATAATGTTACTTGGTGGGAATATGATCAGCTGTGGAATGCAAGACGCACGTTTCGTCCTATTTAAGATTCATTAGCTGCACGTGACTGTAGTGCCCAGTGAACGTTGGTGTTCCCAATGAGACTTGAACTCATCTCATGTGTAACGGGCAACAGTTATTATTGGTTTAAATTAGGAGCCAGAGATCGAACATTTCAGTCCAATCAATCAACGGGAGAAAAAAGTGGTATTGAAAAAATAATAACTGATATCCGTTGCACAAGTGGTGGCCTTAGTGTGATCTAGTCGATAAAACTTTGACGTCTGAAACAATAATCGATG